GAACAAAAGCGAACACACAAACCAGCCTCAACTGACACTTGAACAGAACAAGAGTCAATGGTACTTGTCCTAGCTTTTCGGAAGAGAAAACAGGAACCCATCGAACCAACCAAAACAAAGAAAAACCCCACAAAGGAAGAATATATTTTGTCTTTTTTACATTTTGTTGTATAAGCCACCCATTTTCAGCAAAATGATTTCTTTCTTTTGAAAAAAAAATGTGGAAGAAAATAGCAATTTACATGAGGTCGTTGGCCCAGGGCATTAAATTTACAGATTTTTTTTTTAAAGAGAAAAACACACAAAAAAAGCTACCTCAGGTGTTGTTGTTGTGTGTTTTGTTGTTGTTTTTTACCTCAGCACCTTGCTCTTGTGTTTTCCTTAGAGATTTTGTAAAACTGATAGGAGCATTTTTTAATTTTTTTTTAATAAAAAAGAGTTGGAAAAAAAATACAATATCAGCTGCCAGGCCGGAAAAGGTGACAGTCCAAGTGTGCACCACCCGCTGTGCGTCGCCTTCCGCCAGCCAGGAGCCCACGTGGCCTTCTTTTGGACAAACCTTGAAAACGTTTATTAAAAAAGAAAGATGACCAAGAGACACAGAGAAGATGTTGGAGATGTCCTGAATCTCACTAGGGTACGTGCCATTAGGGCTTTTGCGCTAAAGGATGGACATGTACTGGTTTCTGTGAACAAGCCATTTTACCATCAGACTGCAATGCCAGTTTCCTCTACTGCAAACAGTGTTCTGTGACAAAAACAAAAACAAACAAACAAAAAGAAATATATCCAGCTAACAAGAAAAAAAAGACTTATTGTAAAGCTATATTGATTAATAGAGTGTGGTATTAATGCAAAGAAGATAAGTAAGCCAGTGGAGCAGAATAGAGAGCCCAGAAATTGACTGCTCTATATATGTACATTATATAACAAAGATGGCACTACACAGCAGTGAGGAAAAAATAGTCTTTTCAACAAATGATGCTGGTACAATTATCTAAATGCATTTTTTTTAAATGAACTTGGACCCTCTACATCATACCACACACAAAATCAATGCCAGGCTGATTAAAATTCTAAATGTAAAAGACTAGCCCAACCGGAATGGCTCAGTGGTTGAACATCGACCTATGAACCAGGAGGTAGGGTTTTGACTCCCAGTCAGGGCACATGTCCAGGTTGCAGGCTCGATCCCCAGTGTGGGGCATGCAGGAGGCAGCCAATCAATGATTCTCTCTCATCATTGATGTTTCTATCTCTCTCTCCCTCTCCCTTCCTCTGTGAAATCACTAAAAATATATTTAACAAAAAAATCTAAAAAATGATATCGTTTGACTCCCACCTATGACTTATGCACCAATCATTGAGCTTATTCTACATTTCTCCTTTGCTCCCAATTTAAGTTGTATTTCTACTTTGTCAGAGAATGTTCTTCAACTCTTATCTTCATATTTGTTTTAGTCTTAGATTTATAATTAAACCTATTCAATTCTCATTATCTGTTCTTTTGCCAAAATTTTCTAATCTTCTCTTAATTGGATAAAACTTTATCTCTAGTGGAAACCTCAGCAAGAGTTCCTGAATACAAAATTTCTTGAATTCTAAAAGTTTAAACCTAAAATCCTTGGCTCACACTTTTTACTTGAGTTTAAAAAAAAATGTTTCCTCCCACTTACTCTTTATAATCCTGTCATGTAATTTAATTCCACCTGATTTTCATTTCTTGTAGTTTACTTGTTTTTTTAATTTAATTTAATTTTTGTCTGTAAACACAAAGGGTTTTTTCTTTATCATTAATGTCTGTATTACTAAATCAGAGTTGACAGTGAATCTTCCTAGATGTACAATGGGCTCTTTAAATATATAGAATCAGGTGCTCTTTTTTATGTATTCTTTTATTTTCAAAATGTTTACAATTTTAATATTAAATATTAGTTCTGCTTCATTATTTGCTTTTTCTTTTTTAGAGATTTCTGATATATTTTATCTATCAGTTTCCTCTTTACCTCTTTACTTTGTTTTGGTTCTCTTGGCTCTTTTTCATTTTCATTCGTTCTTTCCCTTACCGTATTTTTCGACCATATCCTTTCTCCCTTGGTTGCTTTGTCATTTAGTCTTCTGATATGAATTTGTCTTTTTCTTCAATTTCTTTCCTAAGTTCAGTTAGCACTCACTTTTCATTTTCACGTTAGTCTATTGTGAGTTTTGAATTTCTGATTTATAGTATTCTTTCATATATGTAATTGCTTGTTTAATATATTATAATCCATGCTTTTCTCTGCTCTGTGGTTGTTTTTATTGGGGGTTGATTATTTTTATCAGCTGAAAAGTTTTGATTCTTGCTTTGTTTTCCTTATAGTAGTT